GGTTCTATCAATGCACGATTTAGTGACAGACAAAAGATTTTGCTTCCATAGCATGAAGTTTTTTTAAGGATACATGAAATACTAGGACATTACAAGACATTGAAGGATGATTTGACTAAGCTTACTTATTAAAAAAAGCTAAGGAACAGAATCTTATTCCTGTGCAGTCTATATTCATCTTCAGAGGAACTTCAGCTGTAGACAACGGGTTCAAACAAGCTTTCTGTACTAAACATAGAGTTCACCTCTGAAGATGCACCAAATGTATCGTTTCAAAGGCGACAACTTAACTTCGTTTTATCACCACATAAGTTACAATTATAACCACCAGTTTCAACTTCAGTAAAAAAATCCCAGACACGTTTTCTTTTTACACTTGTTTTGGTATCATTAGTATCGTCTTCGTCTGTAATATCGCTATTCAACAAAATACTGATAGGTGCTGTTGCTGTTGTTATATTATTACTATCGGACGAATTTCTTGGTGATTGTTGATGCGCTTCATCTTCCAAATCCATGTCTTCGTCATTGTTCACCGCTTCAACATCAGTATTTTCATCACTTTGCGTACTGTCATTCATTAGACTGATTACTTGTCGATTAACAACACCCCTTGATATTCTTGGACGCCCTCGACCTCTTGATCCTCTTCTTCTTATCCCCAGATCCCCTGTATTCTGTCTTGCTTGTTGTATTTTTCCATTTCGCACACCGCTTGGGGAGCGCGATGTTGCTAATCTTGAACTTTTCCGATGAAGAATTGGACTTTGCTGTAAACGAGATAATGAATTCGATCTCGTACTGCTTGTACTTGGTGCTGTCCACTCAAGATCATTGGCATCCATATTAATCAGAATTTATCGTGAAATCTAAATCAAATAACGACAACTGCAATATTATGCTTATGTAGAAAAATTGTTATAGACCATTTGTTGAATTATACAGTATAAAAAATGAAGAAAAGATTCACATGTTCTCAATAGTTAAACGATATCATGCCCGTATTTTGTCGTATAACTATATTTCAAACAGATCAGAGAAGAGAAGCCAATGTGCCTACAAAATTCTTTTTTTCTTACTTTCTGTCTCTCTTTATAGTTATTTCTCAGCCCGGCTACCTTATTGCATAATGCGAACGAAAGTTTCGTTACGAATCACTATCTAA